GGCAGCTCCCGGGGCCGGCCTGCCGCGGCCTCCCCTTGCCGCCTGGCCCAGACGGTGACCTGTGCTCATGCTGCAGACATGCTCAGGGAGGTCTTGGCTCACGGGCCCGGGGCCTCCCCGCCTGGCCCCGAGCTGGCACTGCGCTCACTCTCCACAGCGCTGGGAGGGGTGGTCGTGGCCACAGGTCAGCGTAGCTGCTCACCACCCTCCTGCAGTGGAGGCGGCCTGGCACAGAGGACCCGGGAATGTGCCGGCGCCCACGCGCTGAGTTCAGTGCAATCCTGGCAGCCCCAGGGCCCGCCACTGGGACCTGGTGAGGGCGGGAGAGGCGGGGCGCAGGGCTGCTCTGAGCACAGCTGCGGTTTGTGACCGAGCGCCATGAGGCTGTGTCCGGTGCTCCGGCATACTTTCAGCTGGCCAGGAGCACGCATGGTGACCTTGGACGACCTTCAGGGTGAGGGGCCACAGGCAGGACATGGGAGGGCTCACACAAGATTGCTGTGGCCACCATGGGCTGTTGGTTTCACGTGGAGCAGGGCAGTCACGCACGGGCACGGGGGCTGGGGCGGAGCGGAGGTTGGCCCCGCGTGGTGCTGCTGTGAGTGGGGAGCCAGGGGCCTGGCAGCGCACCTGGCACCTCCATAACACCGCGACTCCTGTCCCCACGGCTGCAACAGGTGGGTGGCTGGGCTGAGGCCCTTGGTGGGCAGCAGTGAGCCGTGCCTGCCGGCGGGCCTGGGCCCGGAGAGACTGACCAGTGGCTCAGCCAAGCAGGACGGGGGCGCCAGGGGCCGGCTGTGCTCGCTGGCACTCGCGCCTCCCCTCCAGCTGGCGGGGCCGTGTACCCTGCTTATTGGCCACGTCTGGCCACATCCTTGGGGTGGAAGGGGCGTGGGCGCCGCTGGGCTCTCGGAAGGGCTCTGACCAGGCTGCTCCAGCTCTGCCCTGCTGGCCCTGTCACCCTAGGGCCCCGGCCGACGGGTCACGGGGGGACTCTGGTGGGGTGAGGGTTTCATATGCAGGTTCGTAGCAGTGCCGTCGCGTCCTCGGGCCACCCGTCTGGAGAGCTGTGGCGTCATGTGTCATCGTGACACGGCCTCTGCCTGTGGGTCTGCCCTGCATGCCCTCCTGGTCAGCCCTGCCGTGTGGGTCCCAGGCTCCTGGGGGCTGAGGCTGCGAGACAGCCGGGCGTGTGTGCCCACCCCTCAGCTCCGGAGGAACAGAACTGCAGCCAAGCCTTCGGGCCAATGGGCTCGGCCGAGGGTGGCCGGTGCTTCTGGAAGTACCCTGGTTGTCAGGGGCTTCGCCGGTGTTGGAGCAGGGGCCAGGGTCTTCGAAGCCCTGTGGCGGGGCCGGACCCACTGTGCCTAGGCCTGGGTGGGTCCCCCTGGCCCGGCCTGGTGGGCGTGCGGGGCGGTGGGTGGAGCTGCAGAGGCTTTGGCTCTGTTTATAGAGGTTTTTGCTAGTGGGCCCGTGTGTGACAGACGGACAGCAGTAAGTCTCCCTGGGGGTGGCCACGGCGCAGTCCCTCTCCTCCACCCTCCTCCTGGGATCCGGGGCACGCGTGCACACATACCCAGCGTGAGTTTTAAGCTGCTTGGTCCGGGACTCGAACTGTGGTCGACCACATGGGAGTCTAGTGAGTAGCTGTTATGCTAGCTGCTGGCCCCAGGGGCGGAGAGTGTGTGATGCCAGCCGGCTTTGCTGTCGGTCGCCTGAGACAGACGATCCTCGGCCGTATCGAGCATGAGGTGCCCTGGAGGGTTTCCTGGGCGAGGGCTGGGAGGGAGGGGTGCAGCGCCTCCGGCCTCCTCCCTGCGGGCGACCTCTGCCTCCTGGCCTTGCGGCACCCCCACCCCGGTCCCCTCATGCTTGTGTCTGCATGGCAGCCCACGGGAAGTGGGGGCCCCTTCCTCCAGGCTGGTCCTTCAGGCCGTTCCCGTGTGCTCAGGGCCAATGTGAGAACAGCTCTGAGACGAGAGGCTCCTGGTGTGGACCCGGCTTGGTGCCCGTGGCTGAGTGCCCTGAAGAGGGCAGGTGTCAGGCCAAGCAGCAGCTTCCCTCCAGACTGAGGTGTGCTCTCACCAGCGTCAGCCCCTCAGGCGTCTGAGCCCGCGCCCCTGCCGTTGGCCGCATGGTCTCCGCAGGTGCCATCTGGCTGGGACGGGCTGGCCTTGCCCGTGACCAGACATGCCAGGGCACTGGTGACGGGGCAGACTGTCCTTCCCCTTGTGCTGCTGCCCGGGGAGACCATGTGCCCGTCCCTGTGAGCTCCCACCTGTGTGGCACCTTCTTGGTGCCGTGGGAAGGGCAGGGGCCAAGAAGGCTGGCGGCATGAGGGTGCCCCCATGGGTCTGCAGGGGTGCAGGAGGCACGGGAACACGGACCTCAGCCCTGGGCGCAGGGGCTTGGCGCTGAGCGAACAGCAGTGGCTGGTGTCCCCTGCTGTCGGCAAGGACGCCCCAACGGTGCTGGCCAGTCTGGCATCCCCCGCTGTTTTCGACAAGGACGCCCTGATGGTGCTGGCCGGCCTGGCGTGCCCCTGCCCTCGGTGAGGTGCCCTGGCAGGACTGGCCGGCCGTGTGTGCCGCACCCCGTGCCGAGTGCGTGCCCCCCGCTCCCCAGTATGCGGGGGCTGTACTTTTTGTACCAAAGTAAACATTCTAAAGACTTTTTAAAAAGTGCTGGTGGTCAGAGCACCCTGCGTGGGCCAGAGGCTCCCGGCAGTTCCTCCCCCTCCCATGCCTGCCCTGCCGCCCATGGTACCCTCTCCACACGGCTTGGACATGTGCCATTACCTGCCGACCTGCGCCCGGCCCTGCCTGACAGCCCCTCGGTTCTCCTGTGTCTCGGCCTCTGGATGCCCCCCCGTGCCGGGGTCTAGCCTCGGCGTGGGTGGGTTATCTCGACGAAGGCGGCGAAGGTGAACAGAAGACAGAGGCCTCGATGCCTTTTATGCACGTCCTATGCCGGACACCCCGCAGAGATCGCTCTCTAAGGAGTGACAACTGCTAGGAATAATTGTGCCTTTTTATTGAAAATGTGTTACATACAAGTAAATGGGAGAGGGGCTACGTGTTTTAATTATCAGCTCATAAAGTCTTTTAACAATAAAACATAGATTCTATTTAGGGGTGGATTAAAGGTGAGTCTAGTGCAGTTCCTATTTAGGGGAGGATTAAGGGTGGGTCTAGTGCAGTTCCTCAATTGTAGGTGAGTCTCTATGAAATGCAGTTTTGAAAAAGCCGTTCCGGTAAGCAAAAATAATTATCAGCTGATGCGGTGCAGCAGCCATCTTCTGATTACTGGGATTGGTGCTGAGAAAAGAAAATCTCAAGAATAGATATTAGTTCTTATGGATCTTAATAAAGAATGATACTTATACAGTTTTGTAGGGATCTAAAACTTAATTTGAGGAATCCTAATATATTTATCTATTTCACTT